TACTACAGTTGATCGTCCCACACCAATGCAGATGCTACACTGGCTTTAGTTGATCCCTTTCTAAGTAGATCACGATATGAGATGGCCCAAGTGGTTAGAGCGCCAATTTACCGACCGGAAGGTCCGTAGTTCAAACCTCTCGACTTCCCGTGTCTAGGCTTAGGCAAGCTGGCAGTATCCCAGCCCTCGTGCTTTATTCGAGTGGCATGGCAGTTAGGCACCGAAAGGGCGCTACAGCTGAACGATACATACTCAGACCATCCTTGCTTGACAGCCTCACATTCCGCAGCAGTCATGTGTTGTCCGTCCTGTAATTGAGGCAGAACAAACCTTGTACATTTGTCTGCTATGGGGTGGGGCGCTACAGCTGAACGATACATACTCAGACCAGTGTTCCTTGACAGCCTCACATTCCGCAGCAGTCATGTGTTGTCCGTCCTGTAATTGAGGCAGAACAAACCTTGTACATTTGTCTGTCAACTATGGGGTGGGCTGTACAATGCCGACTTCATCACAACTATGTTCACATGTCCAAGGTAATTATACACTGTCACCATCTGCGTCGGGCTGTGTGTCTGTCTCTCTGTTTGCTTGCACTGATATCCTTACGCTGTATGAATGGGTCAATTGCCTTTAGGCGAGCAACACTGAATTCACACGACAATGCCGGGACCTATTGTTTACTTTGTGTGTCTAAACCCTGGTACCTATCAGTGGACAAGAAAAACGTATTCACGGGGTTGATATTTGCTGACATGGGCATTCGATTCACAGCGATCATCTGAAAATACTGAGAATAGGGCGATTGGTAGATTGGAGCATTTCGTATTGTCTCGTCAACAGGTTCACAGGATTACGGATGGGACAGCTCAGCAGACCTGTTGTGCCACAATGTCCAAACAAGGACGAAAGTAGAAAGGTGAACAGCACATCACCTTGATTCGACACGAACAGACAATACACCGACCTAAATTCAAGTAGATTTTCAATACCGGAGCTCTGCTTACTTCTGAAGTCAGGTTTGTCATTACGGCGAACTCTAGCCACGACATGAACTGACAGATTGGCTGTTTGTCGTTTTTGAAGCCAAAAGTTAACAAACTGCACGTGACCCATTCGGCCATGCAAACAGGAAAGTATTCGAGTAAGGCCCATCAAGAGGGCTCTTCCTCAGTAACTTCTTCTTGAAGTGTAGCGGTTAGAATCTGACAGCAGATGGAAACTCAATGTTGACACTGATGCTTTACTGCCGTCTAGGAGCTAGAAGTTGTTACCATTATGAGTGAACACATGCGCTTGTTGAAGATGCAAGCACTTTTCGCTATTGTACCTCTGCACGAAGCCACCGACCTTGTATGTATGTACATTGGTCGAGGCGGAGAATTCTCGTCTTCCAATCCTGACAGAGTCGCGAAGAGCTGCCACTGTTGTACACTGAGAACGTTATTTTCGACTTGTTACGACTGGTATCCCACTTAGCCCAGGTTCGTAACAAAATAGAGACAAGCTCATGGATCTCTATGCTACACGTGTAGTAAAAGATGACAGCTTGTGTATACAATGTCAGCTTCCCAGTTCTCAGCTCTTTTTCCTCGCGCGTACTTTGGTCCCCAGCCTCCACCTCGTCCCGCTGTGATTACTACGACTGTTTCTTCACAATTGATCCATTCTCTTTGCATGCTTGATCATCGTATGCCATTTGGCCACATAATACGTGTCCCCTTCAACTGCCCTGTTGTGTATTGTGCTTCGTGAATTTACTAGTGCGTTAGTCTTTTAGGCCTTTTTTCCCTGCTGTCTTTATTCTTACCTCAGACAGTCTGGTGAGGAACTCAGAATATCCATCCTGACCATGCTTGATGGTTTCATGTACCTGGTGAACACCTAAGCCATCCCCGTCGCAACTGTTGTAATCACCACTATGTGTGTAATCATCGCTGTCTGAATGGTTCTGGGTGAAAAAGTAACACAATCGATGGGAAACCCGGTGTACACAGTTACGAGGAGGCTTGACAAAGATTAATTCGTGAAAAAATCCACAGTATCCGATGCATAAGGTCAGGTGAATCCATAATTGGTGTAGGTGATCAGCTTATTGTCACACTGAAAGAACACACAGAGACGCAAAAAAGGCGCTTGACTGCGCGTGTGGATGTGTGGTCGCACTGGATTTTTCCTGATAAAGGCGTGGTCTTAATCATCTAACGAAAATAAGGGGTGATACTTACCTGTCCCACGTCGTTTATCTCTGCAGTAGAGCCCCCCAGTTTGGGTGATTGAAACGGGTGATGGTGGCAATTTGATAGATGTGAGTTGAGATGGCCGGACAGGACTCAACTCACCAACGCTTATTGACACTGGCGGACATGGCTCAACCATGCAGTCAGTGGCGCTCGTGTATCGGGTATTTACCCAGTCTCACGTTCAAGTAGCCTGCCAATCGTGCCATCACCTCCAATATTGGATATGTTCCTCCCGTTTTCTGCGGACCGAATCTGTTGCAGCTGCGACCGATGTGCTCTTGGTACATGGTTTATAGGGGGAAAGATGACTTATTGGTTAGAACGTGAATTGACCGACCGGAAGGTCCGTGGTCCGAACCCGACCTCTGTCTCTTAACTTCTCCTGTCTAGGCTTGGACAACCTGGCAGTGTCGCAGTCCTCATGCTTTCTTCGGGTGACATGGCAGCTTCGCACCGAAAGGATGTTGCAGCTGGTTTATAACGAGTACTTGCTTCTGGATGTGCTGGATGACCTCGCGCTTGCTGACCGGTGCAAACAGGAAAGTATTCGAGTAAGGCCCATCAAGAGGGCTCTTCCTCAGTAACTTCTTCTTGAAGTGTAGCGGTTAGAATCTGACAGCAGATAGAAACGCTCTATGCTACACGTGTAGTAAAAGATGGCAGCTTGTGTATACAATGTCAGCTTCCCAGTTCTCAGCTCTTTTTCCTCGCGCGTACTTTGGTCCCCAGCCTCCACCTCATCCCGCTGTGATTACTACGACTGTTTCTTCACAACTGATCCATTCTCTTTGCATGTTTGATCATCGTATGCCATTTGGCCACATAATACGTGCCCCCTTCAACTGCCCTGTTGTGTATTGTGCTTCGTGAATTTACTAGTGCGTTAGTCTTTTAGGCCTTTTTTCCCTGCTGTCTTTATTCTTACCTCAGACAGTCTGGTGAGGAACTCAGAATATCCATCCTGACCATGCTTGATGGTTTCATGTACCTGGTGAACACCTAAGCCATCCCCGTCGCAACTGTTGTAATCACCACTATGTGTGTAATCATCGCTGTCTGAATGGTTCTGGGTGAAAAAGTAACACAATCGATGGGAAACCCGGTGTACACAGTTACGAGGAGGCTTGACAAAGATTAATTCGTGAAAAAATCCACAGTATCCGATGCATAAGGTCAGGTGAATCCATAATTGGTGTAGGTGATCAGCTTATTGTCACACTGAAAGAACACACAGAGACGCAAAAAAAGGCGCTTGACTGCGCGTGTGGATGTGTGGTCGCACTGGATTTTTCCTGATAAAGGCGTGGTCTTAATCATCTAACGAAAATAAGGGGTGATACTTACCTGTCCCACGTCGTTTATCTCTGCAGTAGAGCACTGGAAAAGCTCTAATGCGCAGCTACCTACCCCACCTCCCCAAACCATCGGTGAACGAAACTGGCAGCTACCACCGCTGTGCAACAAGTACGAGGTTCTTACCACTGATAATGATGATGGTGATTGGGAGAACCCATTGTGAGTGCCCATAATGAAGGGAAATCAACGGAAGCTCTTACTAATCACAAAAGATATGTAATCCCGCAGGCTCAAATCACTCGTTGGTACAATTCTTATTCTTATCGCTATTGTGAGCAATTGCCGAAAACTTGCTTCTTCATTGATGCGGTTTACCAAGAATTATCATTGTCTACTGACATTATGCCTCCAGCGATATCAGTAGTTTACCACCTTTCAAGTCACTTTGAGTTTGACAAACCGTACCGTAGTATCTTCAAGGGCAACTTCAATATGAATGTGCCCTCCCGTACGTTTTGGGTGACTTTCTGATATAAGCCTTCTCAAGGTACTGTTTTGCCAAGGGTTCTACGGAAAACTCTTTCTCTATAGAAACTTAGCAGAGTGAGTTGGTCCGAAAACTCTCCGGGATTAAAACGGACTCAAACGACTCAGATGTGAGGCATCCCAGTACGCCGTGACTGATAAATCAACTCTATATATCAAGCAAGACGTACACAGACTTCATTCGGGAACACGAGTGAAACTAGTTCATCAATGATTGCGCTTGATTTATCCAAGTTGGAAAAATTAATTAGCTGGTTTTTTAGAATGTGTACATTCTAGACACTGTCTCGGTTCCTATGCTTCGGTGAAACATCAACCTGCTTCGCTTGCTTTAACAAAGTTCCTGTTGAAGCCAGTTATTCGAATGGTGTTAACAGGTCACTTTTGTGATGCCCCTCCTCACGTCAGTTCGGTAAGAATGAGTAAACATGTTGGTTTAATACTAATGCTCTCTGTGTCTTCTTAAGATAACAAATCGATCGGTCCGTGTCACAGTCATCTAGTGCTGCCATTGTGCGTGTTCCTCCTCGGAGGTGGACGAGAACAACAGAGTTTTACACTAGCTTTTACGAGCCGAGTTGAATAGGTCGATTTCGGTGAAAACTGAACAGGGCTAATATGAAGTGGTTCATTTAAATTGTGTACAGAATCCGCCCAATAACGTGGTCGGACACCGAACGAGCACCTCCTTCACCGAAGGTCACGGTATCACTTTACGTGGGATGTGCATACCGAGTGTCAACTGACCAATCGTTCAGTTGTAACACCCTTTCGGTGCCTAGCTGCCATGCCACCCGAAGGAAGCACGAGGGCTGAGATACTGCCAGGTTGCCCAAGCCTAAACAGGGGAAGTCGAGAGGAGAGTTCGGGCTCGAACCACGGACCTTCCGGTTAGTAAATTCACGCTCGACCCACTTGAACCATCTCGCCCCCAACTTACTATTCACTCTTCAGTAGATCCCAAATGTGGAAACGTGCATCAGGTATCCAAAACAGTGCTCACACTTGCCGCTTAGGGTTCAGTAATCGGACCACAGTACGTCTAACATGGTGATCCACAGACAAGTTGGTAATCAGACTGCTTTTTTGCACACTGTTGACTAAGTGTCAAGGAGAATTTGCCGCATTCCTGAAATTCTGTCTCAAGATTCAAGTGCAGGAATTTGGTCTTCCGGAGACCATAGCTTGTCAATCACGCCTATGCGGACATGGCTCTCATTCCCGTGATTTTACTTCTTTGGTTGGTTGTACATACGTAAGCAGTCGTCCCTGCGTCCTGTGCAGTTTCGAGAGCCGAAAAGAGTAGCCACCTGTTTACTGAACAAGAACCA